CATTCTCAAGTATCTTCTCGTCGCTCGTATACTTCACCGATTTCCATTCTTAAATTCTTGAAACCTCTTCCTTCTCCTTCTCCAACTCAAACCTAGAGAGTTTTTTAAAAAAGCAATAATATACAGTACCGTATCGGTGTTTTCGATACTCAGACGATTGAAGTAGCCAAAACCCAGCTCTGTTCTTCTTCAAACCGAACTATCCCACTTCACTGATTCTTACATCTGAGCTCGTTTCAATCACAAAGTTGTAGATTTTTTTGTTGTTGGGTGTTTGGTTTCTGGGGTTTTTACGATTATTATCTTTTCGATTCCGATGTTGTCCAAAGGCGTTTTTGCTGTCTCTTTCGTAATCACTTTGTTGTACGGAAACTTGTTAATGGAAGTTGAAGGGATTGGTGTGAACTGGGGCTCTCAGGCGAGTCATCCGCTACCTCCAGCGACGGTGGTGAGGCTTCTCCGGGATAACGGAATCCAAAAGGTGAAACTTTTCGAGGCCGACTCGGATATTCTCAGAGCTTTAAGTCGGTCGGGGATTCAGGTTATGGTCGGAATCCCTAACGACTTACTTGCTCCTTTAGCCGGAAGTGTTGCAGCCGCAGAGAGATGGGTCTCTCAGAACGTCTCTGCTCATATCTCCTCCAATGGCGTCGATATCAGGTTTGTGTGTAATAATATCTCACTGAAACAGCATATTCTCTTTTCTGTTTGTTTTTAACCAAGAAGAAGCCTCAATCTTTAGATTTTTGATTAGTATTGATGAGAAAAAAAAATAAACTTTGAATGTAATCTTGATGCTATGCAAAGAGATTGAAGTTACAAAATGTGTTTGTATGTTTAAAATTTAGGTATGTGGCAGTTGGGAATGAGCCTTTCCTAAAGGCATTCAACAAAACATTTGAGAGCATAACTCTGCCTGCTCTTCAGAATATACAATCAGCTATCATCAAAGCCGGATTAGCGACTCAGGTGAAAGTCACAGTACCGCTTAACGCGGATGTGTACCAAAGTGCATCTAATCTTCCTTCTGATGGAGATTTCAGGCCTGATATCCGCGATCTCATGTTAGAGATCGTAAAGTTTCTGAGTGATAACCAAGCTCCATTCATTATCAACATTTACCCTTTCATCAGTCTCTACAACGACCCAAATTTCCCTGTGGAGTTTGCTTTCTTTGATGGAACAGGTACTCCTACAAACGACAATGGAAGAATCTATGACAATGTTCTTGATGCAAACTACGATACACTCGTGTGGTCGTTGCAGAAGAATGGGTTTGGGAACTTATCTATTATAGTTGGGGAAGTTGGGTGGCCGACGGATGGAGATAAAAATGCAAACCTGCAGTATGCGCGGCGGTACAATCAAGGGTTTATGAACCGTCAAAAGGCTAATAAAGGAACACCTATGAGACCCGGGGCAATGGATGCTTACTTGTTCGGTCTTATCGATGAAGATGCCAAAAGCATTCAGCCTGGAAACTTTGAAAGACATTGGGGGATCTTTTACATTGATGGACAGCCTAAGTATCAGCTCAGTCTTGGCAATGGTAACGGGCTGATCCCGGCAAAGGATGTGCATTATATGGCAAAGAAATGGTGTATTCTTGCGCAAAATGCTAATCTTCAGGATCCTCAATTGGGACCAAGCGTGAGCTACGCTTGTGATCATGCTGATTGCACCAGTCTTGGGTATGGTTCCTCGTGTGGTAACCTGAATTTAGCCCAGAATGTTTCATATGCATTCAATAGCTATTACCAGGTAAGTAATCAGCTCGACAGTGCGTGTAAGTTCCCGGGTCTCTCTGTGGTCAGTACCAGGGATCCGTCTGTTGGGACTTGCAAATTCAAGATAATGATCAAGTCAGATTCTTCAGCTGGTGAAGCAAGTGCGCCTTTGACACGATCAATGGCACTGTTGCTACTCTTCTTGATGTGTCTGTATTTTCTGTGAATACTGAAGAAAATTTGATGGGATTGATTACTTCTTTTTCTTTTGCAAAACTTTGGTGTTCATTGAGAAATTAAAGAAACATTGAGATTTATGTATTTTACTTACCTGTTTGATCTCTTATTTATATCTCGAGAGCTGTCTGGTGTTCACTGTTTCTCTTTTGCTTCTCTTGTTTGTACTAATCAAAGCTCTTGGTGACTAAAAATCTCATCGTTCACTATGTGAAGTAGTTGTTATCCAAATCGAATTTGCATATATGTTGAAATCACACAACCTTATTAGTCAAGCAGGTTTGCCGCAAAAGAGGGGTCCGGGAGGCTTCAGTTCTGTGAATCTGTCCACCAATGAACAATCTCTTAAGATTGAGAAACCATTCTGCTTTATTGTTGAATGAGAAATGAGTTACAAACGCTTTACCAAGAGATTCCAGACCAAACAACCAAACAACCAAAATACCAAGAGCCTAGACCAGTTTCCTACTCTTTCGATTTACACTATGTTTACGCTATGTATGTAAAGGAAACTCCACTGTATTAGATACAACATGATTCCTAGGATGTTATGATTGTCTTGGTTTTTCTTGCAATCTTCGAGTCAGTGAGATAAATAAAGGAGAAATTGGGGGTGGGAATTCAGTGCCTTGAATCTGTCTATTGAACAACCTCAGGTGAAGACATGGGAGAGTTCTATTTTAATGTGGAACCGTGTTCACTGCCTTCTTTCGTTGTTCGAGTGATTAATGTTCAGTCTGCTAGACAAAAAAGGAAGCAAATGGGCATGTGAGCTACTTATCAGTACATATTGATAAGGGGGGTTAGAACCGCAGAGGAAACATCACAAGTTACCTGATCCGTTGGCTGCAGTCCCGGTTCTTTTAAAAGAGTCAGTTGATGCTCCTGGAGGTATGCTCTTGATCTCATATCTGCCTGCATATAATAGACTGTATACTTAACAACTCTTACTTTCGACGTTTTACAGTAATCTAGAAGATAACTATCGGTTTGTCGGCATATCAAAATGCAGCGCGTACCTGTCTAATAGGTTCTGGAACGCGGTATTTGCAGGTCATCTTGACAATCTTAAACGCAGAGTCAAGTGATATACGATGGCCAACAGAAACATATATAGGCTTCAGAGAACTCATAGTTGGCCTAAACCCCTGTTAAAAGAAATTTGTGAAACTTGACCATGAATTCACTTTCTCACAAAAGACTATCAAAACCACACGGAGGGAATTTTATTTAATCGGACCAAAGTGACAGCAAATGTTTAAGCAAAGTCACTTACTACTCCCCACGTCAATCCAGAGTTCCCTACCAAAGTGATAACTTGCTCATGCTCGTTTTCTTTGAGCTGAAACAACCGTCTAACCTCAGATTGATTCAGACCATCCACATGATGCAGCTGAAATGTTATAAAGCCAAACATTCCAACTTAACAATCAATGCAACTGTATGCAACACAAAAATCATCTTATATTACAGAGCTTGAGATACTGACAAAATCGTACATTCTTTCCGACCCCAATGGTAGGGAGGTGAGCAAGAACACCTAAATGACACGCCGAGCCAAATCCTATAACACAAATTTAGATCCAACACCATAAAATTACAGAGCTTGAGATGCAACCAAACAAGAAAACCAAAGGCAAACGAAGAAACTTTACGTGTTCATACCTCGTGGATGAAGTATTCCATTACCATCCACCATCAGTACCTTTGTAAGAGCAAAGCAAGAGACTTTCAGACAAATCAAAAGCATGGTAGCCAATTGCAAATTGCAGCAATTTTATAGACAAACCTGAGGAAAGAAAGGATTCTGATCATCCCTCATTTTTTGCAGAAGCTGCAAAAGAACCGGAGCCTCACGAAAGGCCAGAAATCCAGGGACATAAGGAACATGGAGTCGGAGGAAAGAGAAGTCATGGTGGACTAAACGCAGAGAAGGTAACTCGAGAACGACGAGACAAGCGCAAGCGACGGAGGAATCTTCCTTGGAAAAGCTCATATCCACACCTCCAACGTACTTAAGCGTCTCCGATTCCTCACGAAGTTCCATTGATGAAGATAACTTCCATGGGAAATCATCGTACGCGATCAGTTTCTCCTTCAATCGATCCTGCTCTCTGAAAACAATTCAAACACAAATCCCTAAATCGATTTGATTTCCCGAATTCAAATCAAAATTGAACGCGACACATACTCTCTCCAGTTCTTGAGCTGAATCCCCGACAAAGACCCACTCGAAGCTCCTTCTTCATCCATTAGCAGGAAAGTTCAGTCGCCGGAAAATTAGGTGGAGCCCCGGATCCAAACCGGGTCAATTAAAACGACGTCGTAATAAGAATAGTAGAAGTATGGGCCTTTAGTAGGCCCATTTTGTGAACCTTTGGGTTAGGGTTTGTTTTGTTGAAAAAAGTCGGGTCGGGTTATATTTTTCAGTCGGTTTAGCTTTGTCGTCTCCATCTACCACCTCCTCTGCTGCGTTTCCTCACTCTACAAACTAAAGTTTTGTTTCGTTTTTTCCCTTTCAATTTTCTTTTGTAATACTTTAGTTTCCGCAATCGTAACGTCTCTGTTTCTGGGTTTTTCTTTGGGGGAAGAGAGGTGATTATGGACGGGCAAGGGCATGATGCCGAGGTCCGGAATCCGACGGTTGAGGATGAACAACCGGCTCCTGCGGCGGAGGCGATGGAGGTGGCGGAAAATTTAACCGGCGAAGCTAATTATGGAGAAGGAGAACAACAGGAAGATGAAAACCAGAGCGTTGATGACGAACTTGTAGACAAGGCGCAGAAGCACATGGAAAAGATCACTTCCGCTGCTAATAACCCTAATCCTAAAATCCTTCACGCTCTTAGCCATCTCCTAGAATCTCAGGAGTCTCTGTATGTCACTTTCAAATCTTTCTTCTTGATTTTGTTCATTTGTAGTTGCCTTTAGCTTGACAGTGTATTTGCAGGTTCTTAGAGGAGAATGGGCACTACTCAAATTCTCGAGGTGGTCATGACAGTGGCAAGCTGTGTAATCTCATACGAGTAAGTCTTGTCTTTTATGGAGTGTTCATTGTTTTTTCTTGGGTGGGTTCTTTCTTCTTATTTGGTTACTTGATTTTGCAGGAAAATGATGAGTTCTTTGAATTGATATCCTCAACTTATCTATCTGATAATTCTTACTCAACGGCGGTAAAGGCAGCCTCTGCAAGGTTGCTAATGAACTGTTCGCTCACTTGGATGGTAAGGATTTACGACTTTTCTTACTCCTTTACCTTTAGGTTTAGCTCTTTTGGTTGGTACATGACGCAATTTTGTTTTTTTAGTATCCTCATGTTTTCGACGATGCTGTTACGGACAACTTTAAAAATTGGGTCATGGAAGAGTCGGTCAAGTTTCCTGGTGAAGACTCTGGCAGAAAAGAAGCCTCAGATTCTGAAATATTAAAGACTTATGCTACAGGATTACTTGCTCTCTCTCTGGTGAGGTATTGATTAAACACTCTCAACTTGTTTTCTCTTTTAGATTCTTGTAACTTTTTTTTTGGCGCCAACAGCTGAAATAAAAACGTTTTCTTTTTGACTGCTTGATAAAAGTCGTGGGCAATTAGTTGAAGACGTCTTGACATCAGGACTATCTGCTAAGCTTATGCATTATCTTCGAGTACGAGTTATTGGAGAGTCAAGCTCAAGCCGTAGAGATGCCCTTCACACAACTGAGGCCAAGCATGTGTTAAAAACAAAAGAAGAAGGTCGAAGTAGGGTGCGGAAAGTTGTGGATACAGTTGAAGGTGATCATGTTCTTGAGATGGACTCCGGCAGAGAGATGGGACAATCTGATGTATGGTCTGAAGGCGAAATGGAAATGGATGGCAGAGAAAGATGTGATGTTTTAGGTGCTGTTGAATGTAAAATGAAACCTGGAGATGACAATAGTGGAAGAGATGATCCCTCAAGACACAGACTGAATCGATCAAAATCCAGGGGGAGAGGAAGGATTAACGATGGTGCAACTGATACAGAAGTTCCCTTGGCATCTCCTAGATCAGGTCGTCTGGTTGTCAAAGATAAGGATCTATCAAAAATTTCTGATGTCAGAAATGCAGAAGATGTTAGCATATTTTTGGCCAAAATGAAGCCTGGAATTATGGAGATAGAAAGAGACGAGAATGATGAGTGCTTTCAAGGTTGCGTGATAGGAACCAAAAATATAACTGATCTAGTAAAGCAAGCAATTGTAGCTGCTGAAACTGAAGCTCGAGCTGCCCATGCTCCTCCTGACGCAGCTAAAGCAGCTGGTGATGCTGCAGCAGAGCTTGTTAAAACTGCTGCTTTGGAGGTATGTTTTCTATTTTGATTTAGCTGTTTGTGATTTCATTTCCTTAATGATTCTCTGGTACAGCTGACCTGGTATTTATATTGATTTTCTTTCTTTTAAATTATCCAGGAATTCAATTCTTCTGGCAGTGAAGAAGCTGCTGTGTCTGCTGCTACTCGGGCAGCTACTACAGTCATAGATGCCGCTAATGCTACTGAGGTTTTAAGGTCAGTCATGTTATGCCGTCGTCGATAATAATATTTCTGTCAATCAATAATGGTAGCTTCTGTCTATTTCCGGTAGTTTAGGGCTTTTAACTCTGCTATTTGGTTGTTGGCAGAAATCACACATCTGTTACATCTGATCAGACTACGGATTTGAATAGTGTGGAAACGCACACAATTGAGGATATTGGAGAAATTTCACTTCCAGATATGGAATCGTTGGCTCAGTTACAAGAAAAGTATTGCATCCAGTGCCTTGAGATACTAGGAGAATATGTCGAGGTTCTTGGGCCAGTACTCCATGAAAAAGGTGTTGACGTATGCATTATGCTGCTGGAACGTACATCCCAGTTTGATGATAGCTCTACTCTGTCCCCTTTGTTACCTGATGTCATGAAGTTAATTTGTGCTTTGGCTGCGCACCGGAAGTTTGCTGCGATGTTTGTCGACCGGGGGGGCATACAAAAATTACTTGCTGTTCCAAGGGTTAATGAGACCTTTTATGGTCTCTCATCTTGCTTATACACCATAGGCTCCCTTCAGGTAATAATCAGAGCAAAATTGTACGGCTTCCAATGCAATTTTTTTCATCTCGTTATCCAGCATCTTCTTAACTTTTAAATTTATCTCAGGGTATAATGGAGCGTGTCTGTGCACTTCCATCGGATCTCATACATCAAGTGGTTAAATTAGCTATCGAACTTCTAGAGTGTTCCCAGGATCAAGCCAGAAAAAATTCTGCCTTATTCTTTGCTGCTGCTTTTGTCTTCAGAGCCATTTTAGATGCATTCGATGCTCATGATAGTTTGCAGAAACTCCTTGCAATTCTTAAAGACGCAGCCTCAGTTAGAACTGGTGCTAATTCTGACCGATCAGCTCCTGAAGTCATGACTTCTTCAGAGAAACAGATGGCTTTTCACACCTGTTTTGCTTTGCGCCAATATTTTAGAGCTCATCTTCTTTTGCTGGTGGATTCCATCCGTCCAAGCAGAAGTAGCCGAGGTGGTGTGCGGAATGTTCCCAATATAAGGGCAGCCTATAAGCCCCTTGACATCAGCAATGAAGCTGTAGATGCTGTCTTCCTTCAGTTACAAAAGGATAGGAAGTTGGGTCCAACCTTCGTGAGAACTCAGTGGCCTGCTGTCAATAACTTTCTGGCCTCCTCGGGACATGTTACCATGTTGGAACTATGCCAGGTAATGTAGCATTTTACTCTCCACAGGTACTTTGGTTTGTCTACCATGTGTTTACATTATTGTCACATGCGCAGACTCCACCAGTAGACCGTTATCTGCATGATCTACTTCAGTATGCTTTTGGTGTTCTTCACATTGTTACATCAATACCTGATGGCCGCAAAGCAATTGTGGCTGCCACACTCAGCAACAATCGAGCTGGCATTGCTGTCATTCTGGATGCAACAAATATTTCCAACAGCATAGTGGACCCTGAGGTCAGCAGTCCGCTTCTATCCATTATTTTATATGAGTTTGGTCTTTCTTCTTCTGCGTCTCATTGGTACTTGCCTTCTTGATGTTTTTTTGGCTATTAAAGATCATACAGCCTGCACTTAATGTCCTAATCAACCTGGTGTGCCCACCTCCATCATTAAGCAATAAGCCGCCTCTTGCACAAAATCATCAACCTGTTCCTGGCCAAGCCACTGCCCGTCCCTCTACCGATGCTGCTGCAGGTACTCAGTCCACTGGTAATGCTCCGCAAACTCCTGTTGCACCAGCGTCTTCAGGTTTGGTTGGGGATCGAAGAATTTTCCTAGGAGCAGGAACTGGTTCTGCTGGTCTTGCTGCTAAGTTGGAGCAGGTTTATCGTCAAGCACGTGAAGTTGTTCGTGGGAATGATGGTATAAAAATTCTCTTAAAACTTCTTCAGCCCAGAATATACGTGAACCCCCCTGCTAGCCCAGATTGTCTACGAGCCCTGGCTTGCAGGGTACTTCTTGGTCTGGCTAGAGATGATACAATTGCACAAATATTGACTAAACTTGAGGTAGAATTACAATGTTTTTTTCTCAGTTATCTTCATATTTTTTTATTTATTTCTGAAGAACATCTGATAAAGTTGAGCAGACATCGTAGGTGATAGATACTGACTTTTCCAAGCATGGTTTCTAGGTTGGAAAGAGTTTATCAGAACTAATTCGAGATTCAGGTGGTCAGTCAAGTGGAACAGATCAGGCCAGATGGCAGGCAGAACTTGCTCAGGTGGCGCTTGAGCTAATAGGGGTAATCATTTGAATTTATTTATTTTACTTGCTTAATGTGTGCGTCACTATGGGATTCTTTGCTGAAGTTCTGCAGACATTTTTTAATTGTGTTATTATTGTATGTTGTGCTTGCAGATAGTGACAAATTCAGGACATGCGAATACACTCACAGCCAGTGATGCTGCTACTCCAACATTGCGGCGCATTGAAAGAGCTGCGATTGCAGCAGCAACACCTATAACATATGATTCTAAGGAGCTTTTGCTCCTTATACATGAGCACCTCCAGGCATCAGGTCTTGGTGAAACTGCTTCAGCGCTATTAAAAGAGGCTCAGTTAACTCCTCTACCTTCGTTGGCTCCCCCTTCTTCAATTGCATATTCCTCTACACAGGAGATGTCTACACCTGTAGCTCAAGAACAATGGCCCTCTGGCCGCGCTAACAGTGGATTTTTGACCAGCAAACCCAAAGTCTGCGCACAGGACGAAGATCCTAGTTCTAGAGGT